TCATCTACCAATTTTTTATTTCCATTTGGAATGACTCAAATTCGAATTTATATTGACAAGGATTCAATTTTCTCATTTATATTATTTAATTAAGCCGAGATTAAATGCGGGTATCTCCATAAGAATTTCAATTTCAGGCCTACGCTCTGCAGCCTAGCATCGGATGCAGAATTTCTGCTTTTGTTCCGCTGAGTTGGCAATCTCTTGGCTTCCAACGATAATTATAATGTATTCCTATTTTGACGCTGGCGAGCTGGTCCCCTTGAATGGCGCTCTCTTCGTCACTGATTCCTCTTTTTCTGACACTGCCATAACTCGGATGCTGGATAGTATCATGTGTACCTATAGTGTGCTCACACCTATAACAGTGTATAGTGACGTAAAGAACTCAATATATCATTTCCAATTGTTCTGTTACACGTGGAGGTATGATTGTTAAAAAAACTGCATCTCTATCATTTTTTCGTGTTCAACAGTTTTTTCCTTAGTCTGGAATGTTTTAAAAACCTTTTTCTTGAATAACTGGAAATTGCAATCTTTTCCGCTTCTGCATACATTGTCTGAAAATATTCAGTAGTGTTTGTTTTCTCACTGTTTAGGTCGATTTAATTTCGTTTGGTTTCTTTAGAACCTTTCAGAGTCCCTTGCGTGTAGGTTTTACAGTAGTACTTCAAACCTTTATTAGATATATTTTCAAAGAAACCCGTTTTCTGCCATAACTATAAAAAATGTATATGTTATATTCTTGTATATGTTATGATCTCTCATATCCTTCGGGTTCCTTAATTTTGTATTTATGTATAGATCCACCAGAAAATTTTTCCCCTATGCATTTAATTTTTCTGAATGTTTGCAAGCATCGTTTTCCAATTGTGCACCTGCCATCCATATCCGATTTTTGCTCCATCAATATGTCTGTTGACTCGTGACTCACTACTTCTCATTTGCTGTATTTTATGTGGTCGTGCGATATCATCGCTACAGTTTTCTTCTTTTAATTAGGCTCTCTTTATCGTACGGTAGTAAAACGACCGCGTGGTACGAAGGAAAATTACTCAATGACGTGCAAAAATTAAGTTGTATTTGCGTTAAAAAATATGGTTATATCCTGTAATCGTAATCGTAAGTGACCGCAATACAAATTTGAGCGCTTGTAACAGAACATCTGGTATTGAAGTAAATTCAGGTGATGATAGACACGTCTAGCCTGTCTCTGATAAGGTTGATAGCTTGAAAAGCTTTTCGGTTATGTTTGGAATTTTAATCAAATTTCTGCTCTCTGCGTCAGATTATTTCTTGGGTAAAAGCCTCAATAATTGGCGCTTGTGGGGTATGCGTTGGTGATACTGCTTCTCAAGATTCGATTTTCGTGCACAATTTTTATGCGTGCTGGCCTACGATCAATATTTGAATTAGTAAAAGTTTTTATTTAGTTACTCATTGTGGAATTATTTAAATATAAGGCTAATTAACAGGTATGAAATAAAAGAATGGAGTATAGTAATCATTCATATGAACGTCATAATTTCGATATTAATGATTGTTATGGATGGTTCAGTAAGGATTGCGAGGTCTAGATGCTTGCAAATGCAAGCATCACTTGGAAGAAGAGGCCGGCAACTCTTTTTTGTGGCAATGCTCCTGAGATTCCTGAGTCCTTCTTGGTCTGCAGATTCCTGAGTAATAATCATCCCTATAAGCGTCATAATTGCTATTATATAGATTGTTATGGATGGTTCAGTAAGGATTGCGAGGTCTAGATGCTTGCAAATGCAAGCATCACTTGGAAGAAGAGGCCGGCATCTCTTTTTTTGTGCTCGTGTTGACAGACGAACTAACCGCAAGAACCTGCGTCTTCTCATCACTCCTAATTGTCGTCAGCTGAGAGAGCCGCTAATGAAAGAACCACTCAAATCTTTACCTTAACCTTCCTCTGTTTTTAGAGCATTTTCTCATTTATAGAAAAAAGGCGCTATTGTGCTCGCCATGTCCGTCTGTCCGTCCGTCTGTCTGTCTGTCCGTCTGCCTGTCTGTCTGTCCGTGACTTAACGTTTTCGTCGACGAGAAAATGCGCTCTCTGTCACTCACTGCAGTGAGTACTGAGTTATATTTTTTCCTGTGTTGTTTAATTTTTGATGCTGTTACAAATAATTCTCAAATATGATTCTTTCCAAATCATTGTTGAGGATTTTTTTCAGCCGCTTTAATCTATTTACCTAGTAATACACTAGATGATAATTGAATACAGTGCGATGGTTTCCCATGCTCAATTTTTCAAGGTTTTGAGATTAAAAAACCTATTTGCGAATGGTATATAGACGGTATGGCGACGTTCGATGAATGTTAACTCACTCATCTATCAGGTTTTTTGTGTGCGCGTTGAATGGCATCTTAGGACTAATCCTAGCACTGAATGTATTTTAGCCGTATACTCGGGGTCGACACAAAGCGTCTACATTCTGTTGTATCTGTTCTATGGTTTGCTTTCTGAGCTCAACAATACGAGGCATATTTTTTCTTTAGTGAAGACTCATATAATATCTGCTAATTATGTTATCTCAAAAATATTCGTCTTAAATACTCTCTAAACAATTTCAGCTCGTGAGCTCTACGTTATTTTATATATTAACCAACATTTCATATTCTTAGAATCAATAAATCTTTTTGGATTGTGTAAATCAATATAGCAGTGCATTATCTTCAATTCGCACCGAAATGTCATTGAACCATTTTAAAAACATATTCATTATGCTCAAATCAATGGAATGTTTATCCTGATATCAAATTGACATTTCATACAATATAATTCCATACGCAGCTGCCACAATTTGTTTGTATACGTGCGTCCGTGGGAATATAAGGAACGGAAACGTGCAGACGCAACGCGCCGGATGAGCGCGTAACGCTATATCGAGGCTACGCTTGGCAAAGTAATTCAGTTGTTGAGACTTGGGCCTGCCGTGACTATCGTCCGAGTGGCTTGCTTGACACTTTTTCTTCGTTGCAATCTATTGTATTATCGAATTGAAACTGTTACGTTAGCTCAATAATTGAAAGTCTACTGTAAGAGACTTGGGTTCGTTTTTAGGTTGATTAATTCTGTTGACATAGGCGGACATGCTCTGTAATCTCATGCGAAGTATTGCGTGTTGCCACGAATACAACGTAGGCTCCTGACAATCTCGACATTACCCTTTTTAGCGCATTTTCTCATTTATGGAAAAAATGCACTATTGTGCTCGCCATGTCCGTCCGTCTGTCTGTCGGTCCGTCCGTCCGTGACCTCAAGTTTTCATCGACGAGAAAATGCGCTCTCTGTCACTCACTGCAGTGAGTACCGTACTGAGTTATATTTTTTTCGTTAACTCCTCGTAATAATTTCTGTTGTGAGTGTAATATTATTTCTTCCTACGTGATGAATTTATGCAAAATTTGCCGCATATTTCCAGGTAACTGAGATGGAAAATTTCTTTTGTGAGTAAGTCAGGTGTGTCGTGTATTTCATTTAAACTCTTGAGTGTCTCAAGACCAAAGATGGCATGTAAGACAATTAGCCACGATGAGCGCCAAAACGCCGCTTCATCTTCCTCTCGTTAGCTCGGCCTTGTCTCGTCGTTATTTCCGACGTAAGATCATTCGTCACGTACGAGCAATCGAACAGCAACAATGGCCGAGCGACCTCCAATCATTCGCGTGCGCTGTGAAGGATCAGAAGATGATTGCTGTTCCTCCTCAGGAGGAGAAGAGCATTTACTAGTCACTCAGCTGCGTAAAATTGCTCACGAGAAACGCCATTCTGCTCCTGATATTCGAGTACCTCCTAGTTTGTCGGTGACGTGGCTCACAGGCTTGAGAAAACCTCGCGAAAAGAGGCTATCAGGTCCTAATCTGCCACCGTCGCCGTTAACCCTTAATCCCGGCACGACGTCTCTCTATCAGCACAGAGCAAGTCTCGATGAGAACTACTTGGATACTTGGCAAGGTCGCCGATGGGCGAGACTGCAGCACAGGAGACGATACTCTGAAAGCCATCACGTTGAAGCTGTTCTATCAGGTATGACGTTCAGGGATGTAGCACATCGAGACTACATCTCAGTTAGGTATTCAGGGATGTAGCACATGGCGACAACAACTCAGGTACGGTATTCAGAGATCCACCACATCGAGACGACATCTCAGGTACGGTAGGTACTCCAAGTACTCACCTTGTAAACCATTTTTACTATATTCAGGCTTTTCTTTATATCATACGCAACACGAGTTGCTACCGTACACATGGCGCTGCTCTCAGCTGGTGCGACAGACGATCAAGCTTGTTTACGCTTGTCTTGTGTTGCTCCATGGCCCTGCGATCTACAAGTTTAATTGCCATCTTGTAACTTGTGATGGGTTGTTAGCTTAGGGGCATCATAGCTATAGCTTCAGGTTTCTTATTTGGTAAGCTGTCGCGAGCCAAACATCTGAAAATAATTTGAAACTCTTCATTGTTGCTGTGTCAATATTCCAAAATAAGCCGCAATATCTTTAATCAAGATTTCTATAAGAGGAACGTTTCAATTTTTGGAATCCTAAATCAGACAGCTTTATTTTTGTGACTAGCCTATATTTATTTCACACCAAGTACGCAGTAAGATGACGATACACTAATGTCTACTAAATAATTAACTTTTTGTTCAATTCGTTCCATTCTTAGCTTATTTGTTTTAGCGAAGGACTCAATCTTGTGAGGTGGCGCCAATGGTTACGATTTATTGTGCTACTCTTTTCTCACGGCCCGAAAAATAAGTTTTTTTAACGCATTTTCTCATTTATGGAAATAATGCACTATTGTGCTCGCCATGTCCGTCTGTCTGTCCGTGACCTCAAGTTTTCTTCTACGAGAAAATGCGCTTTCTGCCACTCACTGTAGTGAGAACTGAGTTATATTTTTTTATTCCTTTAACTGTACTCTAATTCATTTTTGATCTGTTGCAAAATTATCATTTCCCTATTTCTTGCAGGCGATGGAGGCGGTAGCAGCAGCAGCAACTTGCTGCGTATGCGCAGTTCTTTGCTGGGACAGTCCGCGCCTTCGCTGTCCGGGTCTACGGTGAGTACCGCGTGTAGAATTAATTCTTTCTACTTAATTAATTAATTAAGTCGAATGCTCTAAAACGATTGGTTTGAGACCTTCTTATTCATTGTCGTATTCTTAATTGAACAAATTTGTGCGGCTGTGTCTTTTGTTTGAACTGGCCCCATACTGTGAGTAGAGTTGGGGGGAAAATCGACTTCCTGGAATGGCGTTCGATTATTTAATGCTTCAACAAGTCGATTGTTTGCTCGTTAACTCGATTTGACACGAGATAGATTGAACAAAACTGAACTGATCGATAATTTGCTTTCATACTAAAAGAGATTGACTGATGCTTAGTGATAACTGATTACGTGATAATTTTTTCGTGATTGTTTGATTGTGTTTGCACGCGATCGTGTTTTATCGTGTTTTTTTTTTGCTACGGTTGAATCAATTTATTTCATTTAAATTATTATAAGTGAATGAATGTGGCTTACAAGTCTATTTGTTCAGTGTTCTGGAAATAAAAATCGTGTTGAAGCGTTGAAAAACTGCAGTAATAACAAATTCCTGGAAAGTATGAAACACCATCCTCCAACAGCGAACGGCTTGCATGATCTTAGTTTGGACTTGATTAACGTTCACCCAAACCTGGACGCGCGTCTAACAGGTAGTAACCTAACTACGACAGACATACGGGGTCCAGTGTATGTCTATATACGTGGACTACTTCTACACTCAAGTGTGATTACTAGTGTAGTCCTGAACTATGTCACAGTAGGTGTAAGGGAACGTTGCATGTATAGTGTGTCCACTCGAGACCTTCTCTACACGTGTTGTACTAACATATGTATATCTCATCAGTAATGGGTGTAATAAATTACTCGTACGAGAGAAAGTCTGATGTACCTCCCTCGAAAGAGCTCAGCTTCGATAATCAGCATAGTTGAAAAGGCTGTATCCAAGTTCCCTCCAAAAAATAACTGATGATTAGGTCTCATTTTTCTTCGTGTTAACGAAGAATTTGTTATAAGTATAACGAATGACATGACCAATCCCATGAGTGGCCAAATAACGTGTGAAGTAGGGACATGTTTTCACCCAGGACTTCCATGGTTGTTGATGTAAACTTTTTTCCTCTGAATTCTTTTATTTCCCAAATGTGCGCACTGTTTTTCTCACGAAATGATGAACTGCGGCGAGATTCTGCTTCCACATCATCGAATACTTTTGCATTTTCGGAATAACAATTAAATCGTCTCTTGTCCTCGTTGTGTTCAAAAGGTTTTTTATGATGTCGTCATGTTACTACGGTTTATTGCCTATATTATGAGAAATATGAATATATTTATATAGTACCTTAAGATTAAAATTGCTTGATTTCACTCACAATTTTATTTTTTCTCACTTTAGTCACTATAGGAACTGATTTTGCTTATTTAAACGATCCAGAGAATGTTTATTAAACAGATCCAGATTACAGATAATAATTGCTAGTTCATTAGCAACGCTTTCATCGCCGTGTCGACCAAGCTCCAAATTCCACGAGTACTAGCGAAATTTTGTAGCGACTTGTCGCTATTTTGCAACTTACTTTACCATATCTCCTTGTTTTTAGTATTATTATTGGAGTGACACGAGTGAATATTTTTTACAAAGGAAATTTGTTTATACTAGCAACGCTTGGCCGAAACACCTCCCACGTTACAGCATCCGCTGCTAGATCCTACGAAGGATGTTTGCCTTTAGTTGTAGATAATGTGCATTATGTGTCATCATGGTCATCAATGGTTAAAAATTGTTACTCCATTACTGATGAGTCAATTTCGCTTCTTTCTCTGTTAATTCAGTTGTAGATAATGTGCATTATGTGTCATTGTGGTCATCAATGGTTAAAAATTGTTACTCCATCACTGATGAGTCAATTTCGCTTCTTTCGCTGTCAATTCTTGCCGAAACGAAGGGTATACCCTATAGCAGCTGTTGATATGTTTGCTCAATGCTGCCGAAGTCGGAAAACTGATTATGTCGAGCAAATGTTGACATTCCTCTGATCGAAATGATCGAAAAACTTACCCTAGTATGAGGTAGGGAAAACTGCAGACGACTTTTTTTCTCGATTTTGTCAATTTTCTATGATGTTTGCACACAGATTTGAAATGCGTGTGCGTTGTATTCTGTTTCGTCGCTTCCTAATGTCAATTTATAATAGTGTCAGGTGTCCTCGATTTGATAGGTGGCATTTTCTGTTTCGCCCATTATTTTTTCAGTTTTTATTTATTATTTTAAATTAAGAAAAACATTGTAGAAACAATTGAAAAATCACGATCCTGATCTTAACCTCAAATAATCCACCAGTTTGCACGAATAAACATATGGTGACCAAAACTATGTTGGGTTGTCACGATACTGCTGTTAATTTCAGCAGACGACAGTTACTTTTTTTTATACAATCTCATGGTGTTCTTTCTCGCTCAAATTTTCATCAATCTTTTAGTTACTGGTTTATTGCATGAAATTTTTAAGTTTAATTGGCCTTAATGATAGGTGGCTTTACGTGAAACGTCACTCTTTATATGAAAACAACCTGTAGAAACGAGCAAGTAATTGCAGTGCTTCATGTACTAAGGTTTCGCTGGTACTGAATAATCATGTTCACACGAATAAGTTGATTAGGTCTCAAGAGTTTTTGATGAATTCAACAAACATATCCTAAACATTACGAACAGGGATCGGCAGCTACTCACAGCCTCGTCATTTATTCGGCCGATTTACTCGTGATTGATGTTTAGTTAGTGCTCGAAAGATTTCGTTTTCTAACTCTCGACTCTGAGAAAACGTATTTTCCTGGAGCACTATCATACATATAACGAATCTCACTCTGGAACAAATGTCATCGGTTATTATTAATAGTTCGTAGCAGCTAAAATCGTTTCCAACTATAATATAATACCGTCTAGATTTAAGACATAGCTTTTCAGATCACCCTGCTGTAGGCCACTGTTGGCTAATTTTTTGCACGGTTAAATTACCAGCTGTACAGACTCATTGTCTTCATTTGTTTTAAAATTAATAATACATAGATATACTACTACTAGTTTGATAAATTACGCCTATTTTGCTTTATTGCCCGTCAAATCTGATCTACTTTATTGAAAATGTATTCTTATTATCGTAATACTATTTACTGCGAGAATATTATTCACTTTGAATACTTATGTTTTATAAAGAATTTTTTAATATGCTGAACATATTTTCTAAAAAACCGCTCACTCGACCGCGTGAAATGTTTATCATTCAACCTACGCTGAAACGGTGCGTTCAACCTACCGAATCTGATTTTTGTCCTATTTTATTATTAAACTGTTCCATTTTACAATTATTTAATAATAAGTAACTCTCTTTTGATCAATTTTCATTGGTCATTCGAGGAAGATTCTGGTATTCTGGTAGTCAAGTGGTGGGCGATTTTTTCATAGCACAGTGTCCTATTATTTTTATGGTATAAGATGTAATGGTGTACGATTATTTAAATTTTAATTGAGTATGATTGTATTGTATATATAATGATTTGGGATTATTTTATAGCATAGTTTGTGCTAATTTACGTCTTCAGCTATCCAGTAATAGTTAATGAATTTTGTATATTAATGGATTTTGTATTTTTGTATGTTTTTAATATTGTAATATACTGTTTTGCACCTCACATTTTAGATGGTATAATAAATTCTGCCTCTTGTCGGGAAGATTTTTTATTATTATTACCACACTTCTATTTAGCTTCACTTTTTGTTGTTTGTCTGCTACAAATCTTATAATCGATATTTAACACACTTCTACATCTCCAATCGATCTGAAATTTTTCACACTTGCGTAAAGTCGGAAGCAATGCTTGAATAAATTGACAGAATAAAAATTAATTTAGAAAAAATCTTAAATACTTAGAAATAAAATAAGAAATTCATTTTACATGTGTAACATCGGGGACATCGGCCTCTTTAGAAGTGTGGTTTTTGAAAAGTACTTTTTAGATGCGCATATTTTATGCGTATTTTTTAGATACGCATATTTTATTCGTTTAAAAAGTACTTTTTAAACGCATATTTTATGACGTGCTTACGTCCTGGCCTCGCTCACATCATCTGCTCGGATGAAACAATCTGAAGCAGATTAAAAGGTGACTTGGAATTTATCTCATGCCTAAGATTATTTCGAAGGATTTTTTTACACAAGTGGACTATTTTTTTAGCTTAGTAAAATTGCTTCACTGGTTTTAAAAGCTTCTTGAAAATAAAAGCTGATTATATATGACCTGTTGCACTTACTGAAACATCTCAATTAAAATTACTAGGTCTCGAATAACTATAAAAAAAAATCAAAAACCGCTATTGACCGATACTTGATGAACGCTTATTAGCATTTTTCTTCTTACCAACTATTTCTTTGAGAATTCAACTGGAACGTTTTTCAGTGTAAGTCTAGCAGCCTCCGTGACTCATTGGAATATCCATGCATTTTTTCAAAAGCCTTTTGGGCAACTACAGCGTGATGACTCACGCCGTCTCCCAACGATGTCTCACTAGAAGGGGTTTTCCAACGGAGCGTCCATTGACGCGCTCACGCTGTTTAGCGCATTTTCTCATTTATGGAAAAAATGCCCTTTAGTGCTCGCCATGCCCGTCCGTCTGTCTGTCCGTCCGTGACTTCACGCCACTCACTGCAGTGAGTACTGAGTTATATTTTTTGTTATAGAACCTTAATTACTTAATACTTGAACGTACTTAATACTTAACGTACTTAATTTGCTAAAATCAAGAACGTTGAGGAAGCATGACGAGCCTCTTTCTTCTACGCGATCGATTTGCCGCAAATAAACTTGAGAAAAACTGAAGTTTATAGCGCTCGTCCTTGATTACTGAACTTGGCTGTGGAACAGCACCACACAAGCATTAGCCGGTATTGAGACAGATCTTCTCTCTCTCTCTCTTTGTAATGGCATTTGACGCTGTTGATGTGATTGTAGCGAACTTTAT